GTTAAATTCAATACAACTAAGCTGGATCTCCAAACTTTTTGATCAACAATACAATGGAGCCTAGAAAGATGCAGTATCATACATCTTAAACAATTATAGAGAAGCAAATCAAGGAAATCAATTTTTTTTCACAAGCAAATCAAGGAAATCAATTTTTTTCACATTCAAATGACTCTTAAAAAACTTTGCCTTTGTTTTATAGTCAAATGCTTAAAAACTGAAACAGCATATGACAACTTTGATAAATTATCATATGAAGAATTGTTAAATCAACCTTTGTTTTACAACCCATACATAAAACACCTTAACACATCTCTAAAAATAACACCAAATACAGAAAAAAACAATATAACTAAAATAGCAGACATTTCTAAAATATTTGTACCAGGATTTCTTGACTACCAACTGGTCGATATGAAACCTGGACAAATTTCCATAATTATAAACTTGCTACCGCCACAATGGAAACTAAGAATTAATACTGAAACTCAAAAATATGATCACAACAAAGCCATACCATGTCTATACTTTAAAAACAATCGTCCAATCCCAATCACAGAACTCACACCAAAAGTACTATACAAAATTTTGAATACACAAAAATATGATAAAACTACTGTAAACCTTTCGAAATGGAAACATTATTTCAAAAAAATGAATGCGAAACATTACAGATGAAGAATGGGTCAAACTATTTCTAAAAACACACAAAAACAACACAAACAACAAAGCAGATGAAATACGATACAAGTTAATACATTTTAAACTACCAAATAATAAAATCTTCAAAAAGAGAGGGTATGAAAGTGACGAGCTTTGTCCCCAATGTATGAAAACAAAAGAAAACTTAGCACACATGATTTATAACGGTAAAAAACTTCAGTCTTTAATAAAATACTCGATTTCACTCATTAACAAAATATACACACAAATCCCACGTCTAAAAAATACATTCAAAACATTTCGTTTTGCGCCATCACAAATTATATTTTTATGTAATATTGGAAGAACTCTATTAAACGAGTGTTTATATAAAATTTATTGTAACAGACAAAGATCGTTCTATGAAAATAAAAAGTTTTCAAGGATTGCACTCTTGGTAGAATTCCAAAGCAGAATTAAAAAAATACTGAATGAGGAATACCAATTTGCAAGAGAAAACGATAGTTTAGATGCATTTCTAAAAGAAACCAAACAAATCTGGTGCAAAAGAAATAAAACCCTCAAATTAGAATTAGATATAAATCGCTTTTTAAACTAATATGCCCAGATTCAATTTTGAAACGTTTTGTTTTTAACTCTTCTTTATTTAACATTTTAAAAATAATCTCTTTGTTTTTTGGTTTTTGATTTTTTCGTTTTTGTTTTTCTCTTTTTTTTGACTTCAATATTTTTTGTTTTTAATAATGGAACAGTAGACAAAAAATTGTAAAAAATAATAAACTTGAATAAATAATAAAATATTTGTTAACATTTAAATAATATGCTTAAAACATTTTTTACTAAAATCTGAATTATTAATGTAATAATAAAGGCAATAATCAAATTGTTTTTGTGTAAGATCTTAATGTTATTTTTTTATACTTATTGCTGTATTGGCATTTCAAATGTTTGATTTATTTAATAATCTTTATTAAATAAATTAAATATTTTAAATATTCGATTTATTTAAAAAAAGAAGATATTTTAAATGTCTTCTTTATTGAATAAATCAAACATTTGAAATGTCATACAGTAATAATTATAAAAAAAAATCTAAACAACTCTTTATATATTCCATCTTTTTGAGGCAGTGGGACATTATTCTTGGTTTTATTATTTTTTAATTTAATATCTCTGGATATTTTTCATATTTAGTTTGCGTAAAACAGTTAACAACTTTAAGTTTATACATTAACTTTAGTTATAACTTGATTGTTAATGATTTGATTTATAGATTTTTATAGCAATGCAAGATTGAATTTAGCAGAAGGCTAAACTTCTGCTCTGGAGACAAAAAAGGAAGACAGCAAAAATGACCAGCCAAAATAAAGATTAAAGAGACAAAAAATTGTGTATATCTTGGTCTAAATGGTTTATCCTCAATTTCTTATAATAAAACAAAAAATATTATTTAACTTTGAGATTTACCTGTAACTCCAAACTCTTTACAGAAGTTCAATGTTTGCTCTGAGAAGTTAAATGAGCAAAATTTATTAAATGGTAAGTTTTTATATAAAAGTCTTTATGTCTGATGATTGAAAATCTTTATTCATAGCTTTAGTTTTTACAATTTTAAAGACTTTTTCATATATTTCGGTCAAAAAGTCAGAGTGTTAATCAACATTTTATTGTGTAACAATCAACATATCAAAGCTTACACCACAGGCTTGGTCAGGTTTTAGTCGTTTTGGGAACATTTAAGTTTATGAGCGTAACAAAATTTTTTTGTGGATTTTAAAGTTGATGTCACCAACTTTGAAATCTATTTGTAATCAACTGTTGAAAAAACAACAACAGAGTTTTCATATCAGTTTACAGTTTTAACAGTTTCTAGCGGTTCATTATTATTCATTATATAAACGTTTATTTAAATTTATCTAATAGACGAAGGTAATATAATATTTTTATTGATGGTATTATTTTAAAAAATTGTATTATTAAAATTCAGAACTAGAATATGTAAAAAAAATTGTTTGCCAAGATTGGACAAGGTCCGTACTGTACCTGGAAAATCTGGAAAATTTGTTAATATTAGCTAAAGTCGTGGAAAACCTGGAAAAGTCAGGGAATTACTTTTTTCTTAAGATAGTCATGGAAAAGTCAGTAATTCTAGTTAAGAAGTTACTCGTTTCACAATTGAACGCTGTATTTTGAAAACGTGAATAGTCACGCTTTTTTTAAACGTAAGATTTAAAAAAAATATTTTTTTATAGAAAAAGATTTTTTTTAGATAAAATAAAGATTTTTTTAGATAAAATAAACAATTTTTAGATAAAATAAAATTGAATTTTTTTAAGGAGAAATGTTTCCTGTAAAATTTTAATTTTATGACTTGTCACACAGCGCTCGAAATAACAGCTGATCAACGATCAATGATCAGCTATTTTAAGAGAAATTTCAAAATATTTTTAAGAAAATAACCTGTTTTAGTGAAAAACTACATTTAATCGGCAAGCTTTGAAAAAGTTTTTCGAGCGCTGCACAGTGGGCGGAATTTCAAAAAACCTGGCCAAAAGTCAAAAAATGATTATAATTAATGGAAAATTTCTGTATAGCATTTTTTGAATCCCCAACTTTGAATTTTACATAAGTGTACCAAAATTCAATAATGGCAGATCCAAAATAGCTGTGTTTTAAAAACATTAATCATTAGAAATGCCTTTGGGCCTTCGTGTTTAACCAATTAGTTCTAATTCGACATTTAAGTTCAATAGACTAATGTATTATTTACATTACATATATAAACATTATATATAATACTGATATATAATATATTATGACCGTATTATTATACCGCAATGTTAAGAAAAATAAATTGAAAAATTCATTATTTATTCTACTTATTTATTTGTTCAAGGAAAACAAGAAAAACTTTTATTTGCATCATTTATCATAATTGTTTCATTTATATGACTTTAAAATAAATCACCACTGTCATCTGAATCATTTATTATTGAAATATTGTTGATAAACTCAATCACAGACGAATGAGTTTCAGAGTTTAACTTTTAACCAAGTGTCATGTGTCTTCAAAATTTTTTTTTTGTTCGGTTACTACTTTTCCATTTTATTTTTAATTTTGTCAATACATTTTTTAGTTTCTTTTTATCATCTGTTGAAAATTGGAAACAAATTTTTTTTCTTAGACACAACTGTGATTGCAAAATATCAAGCTGGTCATCTAGATCTGAAGATAACTCGGTTTTTAAAATTTCAAAAATTTCAATTCGAGGAATTTGCAAATGATCTTTTTGTGAACCTTAGATATTAATTGAAAATATAATAATTTAAAAAAATCATAAAAACATTATAACTTTACTAAACTAATTAAAAATAAAATAAAAAGTAATCGATAATATATTATTTTATATAAATTCGATATATAAGAGAAAGGTAAAATATACTGTTAATCATATGATTGTATATAGATATAGTTATTATGTTTTTTGAGAAACTGATTTTGTAAAATTTAGTAAAACTATACAAAACTTGTCGTAGCTGAGGTAAAAAAGACGTCGTAACCGAGGGGGTTTATCCCCCCCCTCCCTCCTACATTCTAACTTTGTCAAAATCTCATTCATGTGTGCTACTAATTTTATTGTAGTTTTATTGCACTTAAAAAAATCAGTTTCTCAAGAAACATAATAACTATATCTATTTACAATTTGACTGATTTTGTAAAGAAAACAAAACACCGCCATTTTGTTTACTAAAAAACACGACTAGCACTACACAATATAAGTTAATGAAGTAATAGGCAAAAATAGGTGCCTTTTCTTTTAACCAATCTTTAGAATACACTTTTATGAACAATATCCAAATTATAACTAAGCGGAATCTCGCTGGTTCACTACTTTTTCAATGCTTGAAAAATAGGTTAAAGAAAATAAATAAACTTTATTCTGTACTTTTTTGTTTGCACTTTTCGCATAAAATTTAGAGAAATAATATAAAACTTTTTACTAAAATATCATATAAATACCTTGAATAGTATCGTCCATAGTTAGTTTTTTAGTAACGATAAATAACTTTTTTGTAAACTATACTTATTTAACCACATTTTTTTTTGCTTTTAAAACGCCAATTATGTGTTTTTAATAACAGATGTTTAACTGCGTAGATATAGGTAACTTTAAAAATTTATACAATTTTTTCTTATACAATAAAATACAACAGGGCTTTGTTTATGTAGTTTCAAAATAATAAATTCAAAATAGTGATTTTTTTTTTTTGACTTTTGGCCAGCTTTTTTGAAAATTAGCCCACTGTGCGCTGGTCACATTTTCAAAATACAGCGCTCAATTATGCTATTATGTTTTTTTTGGTGGCAGCCATTTATTTTTTCTGAAACTTAGTGTTCATTCTTAACCATCTTTAATGATAAGATCCATACTAACATGTATAATAAGATCCATACTAATATCCAACTTAACTAGTAGCTAAGTTTTATAAGTTTTGTACTTCAAAGCATGTACAATCTTGGCATTTCCATTACAGTAATAGTAATTTTAAATATTTTGTAAAAACCATTGCTAAAAATGTCAGGGAAATTCATCTGATTTTTCAAAAAAGTCATTGAATTTTATATAAATAGTTGGCTACGAACCCTGTCGGAGAAATATTGTTTTACTATGAATTTTTTTGTTTTACAGTGCAATCTGTATTTCAAACATTGATGAGAATTGTTTTGTGTCAGTGCCAGAAATTGAGTGTACACCTGCGAATTTCATAATTCATAAAATTATTATGAATCCATTTGCAAGTATTTATTTTTATCATTAAAAATTTGCCCCTCTGTCTTTAACTTTATCTGTTTTATTAGTGATTGTTGTATTTACTTCCATAGATTCTAAATATAATATGTAATTAGTTGTATAGTTTCATAATAATATAGTTAACTTTATTGTTTCAAGATAAAGTTGTATCCTTGAAAGATATGCTGGTATTATTGGCACAAAGGGCAAGCATTGAAGTGCAACTTGGTGAACTACAAAATACATCAAATTCAGTTTTAAAATTTGAATAACAAAGGTATGCTAATTATTGTATTGCCTGAAAGAGTGTCATTGCCATTAAAAGCAGCAAAGAATTCAAATACTCTGAAAGAAAAAAGAAAAAAAAAATACTTAATTAAATGGTTAATATTTTTTTATGATCTGTTTATGCAATTTGTATAATATCTTAGTATAATTTATATACTTTAAATAAAATACTCTTTGAAGATTTCTTGTAAATGACATTATATATTAATTTAAGTCTAAACAAAAGTTACTTTAATTATTGCCAGGTTGTGTATTTTTGCAGGTTAATTATTTGGCACAAATTAAAGTTAAAGACGAAGGAGATTGTGTATGTTATTTACTAAGAATAATTTTTTAAAATGGCCTAGCTGTAAAGCTAAACTATGCAGGAAGAAGACAAAAAATTGGAAGAGGAAAAATGTTGATTGCATATGCTGCTATTGGTAAGTGGTTTAGAAAAGTTTATTTTTTCAGTTTCAATTTTGCATTACAGAATTACTTTCAATTTGTTATGTTTCTTTGGTGCATAATTAAACAAACAACTATTTTTTTTGCAGAAACTGTGAAGTCAAATAAGCATGGCTTATGCAGACATGTGATAGAGATAGAGGAAGAAAAATAATAATCGTGGGTACCAAATATCATGGGCTAAACACGATTCAATAACATGTAGCTCAGCCAATACCGAAACTACTCTATAAATTTTATAGTGAATTTTTTTATTTAAAACCCAATGTGTCAGTTTTTAGTTTAAGTTTGGTGTTTGCAATATGTGTATTTAACCGAGAAAATATGTTACATAAATAAATTTTTGTACTTGTATCATACATTCTCTTTTTTCTCTATAAATTTTCAATGTAGCGATGCAAATCATCTTATCTGTAACAACGATCTAATGATGCATAAAACGTTAGGCCAATATATAACATTCGATATTTAGCCAATGTTGTATACAAAATTAGGCCGATTTTGGATACAACGTTGGGCCAATGTTGTATAAAATGTCATCATAACAAATTCGATATAATGTAATGACAATGATAATGATAACATTAACAACAACAACAATAATAAAATCAATATTGTTATGATATATTTATGCGTAAATTTAACAAGGAAAACTATATTTCCTGATAAATTTACTTTAATATTAGTATATGATTATTATTTAATTAGTTTTTACCTTAATTTTATCATCTTATTTATTACCTAAATTGTATAAAACGTTGGACCAATGTTGTATACAACGTTGGCCTAATGTTATATACAACGTTGGGCCAATATTGGATAAACGTTGTATACAACATTAGGCCAATGTTGTACACAACGTTGGGCCAATACCTAACCAATGATCAAACCTGCATTGGGCCAACATCAACTTTCAACGTTGGGCCAATGCATCATTATACATTGGCCCAACGTTGGTCCATTATAAGCTTGCTGTATGGGATATCTGTAAACAATTTAATATATAGCAATCAATATGGATTCAAAAAAAAAATAGTTCGACAGAACAAGCAGTTCCCCAATTTAGGAGAAGTATTACTAACTCTTTTGAAAACTCCCAATATACAGTTGGGGTTTTTATCAACTTAGCTTAAGCTTTCGATACAATAGACCACAATATTCTTTTAAATAAACTAAAGACTTACAGTATAAACGGAAATGTTTTAAATTGGTTAAAAAGCTATTTAAATAATTGAAAGCAATTTGTATACGTTGATGTAGTTTCACCAGTAAACTTGCTTGATATAAAATGTGGAGTTCCTCAGGAATCAATATTAGAGCCTCTTCTTTTTCTTATTTACATAAACGATCTCCATAAAACTTTAAGTATAATAAAAATTATGTTAGCAGATGACACGAACTTATTTTTTATCTCATAATGATATTTCATCGTAATTTCAGAATATTAATAATGAACTAGTAAGAGTTTCTGATTGGTTTAATACAAATAAACTGTCTCTTGATATTGATAAAACAAAATGAATTTTTTCCCGTCTAAATCACAAAAAAAATCGTTCACCAAAAGACATGCCACCGCATTTTATTGATAAAATACTTCTAAAAAAAGAAACTGTTGCCAACTTTCTTGGAATTTATATTGATGAAAATTTGTCATGGAAAAGTCACATAAAAAATTTGAGTAGTATAAAATATCAAAAAGCATTGGAATTTTATACGAAGGAGTTTTTTAAATAAACAAACTTTACTTAAACTATATTATTCGCTCATTCATTGTCTTATAAACTATGCAAACATTGCGTGGGGTAGTACTAATAAAAGTAAATTGGAACAGAAACATGTTGCACGCCTTATTAATTTTAAGGATTTATTAAGTCGTGCCAAGCCTCTATTAATTGAAATAAAAGTTTTAAATATATATGAGCTTAATATTTTTAACGTTATATGCTTTATGTTTAAATGCAAAAACAATATTTCTCCTGTACCTTTTTATAACTTGTACAACAAAAAAAGAAAAAATTAAATACATTTTACAAAATTATAACGACATTCGTCAATCTGCTTATTAAACTAATTCTGGAAAACACTGTATTTCATTTCAAGGAGCATTACTTTGGAATAAAATAGTTTTAAAGAATTTGACTTTTCTCAAGAGGTTAGCTATCACTCTGTCAAACAAAAACTTAAAAAAAGTGATTTTTTTATTAGATAATATCTATAGATATTTTTTTATTAGATAATATCTATATTCTTTTAATTCTTTTTTTTTTTTAACTTTTTATTAAACACTGCATTAATAAAATTTATAATTTAACAATTTGTAAATAGTTGTTTAACACTTTTGTTACATCTTAAAACTAAATAACACATCTATGTATTTACAACGGAACCTTTTTTCTTTTTTTCTTTAAATTTGTTTATGTTTTCAATTCTTAATTCTTAATTATTTGTTATCATCAAGTATATTAAGTATATATTCCTAAAGAAAAATTATTTATTTATTTTGAGAATATTTTGAAAATGCGAAATGTTAACACGTAAACTTTTTAGCGATTCTCGACAACAAGACCTTACGGTCCTTACGAGTTTCCGCGTTCTTTTATTTTTTAATAACAATCATGTATATACATATATAAACATTGTTAACGAATGTTTATTACTAAAGTTGTAAAATTAAAGAAGAAACAAAAATATATATATATATATATTTAAAATAGCTCTTTTTTTATTTTCCATTCTAACTTTTCTCTTCTGATAATTCTTTTTGATGTAAATTATAAACTTTTGTAAGTTAAACTTTCGAATTTTATTTAGAGAGATTTGTCCGTAGATTAAAAATATAACTACTTACTAAAATTAGCTCTACACCGCTAAAGTTAACTACTTATACAATTATAAAAAAATATTTGTTTTTGGGACCCTACAAAAAAAGAAATAAAAATTTTATGGTTTTAAATTTGTGGCACTATTTGTTGAACCATAGTTCAACAAATATTTACATTTACTTACATTTACTATTTTATTAAATATTGGCATACATTTATATATTTTAAAATCAAATTTACTACCAACTAATTTGCAAGCAACCACTGTTAAGTTATGAGTTATTTTAAAATAGTTAAAATACTAAGAAAGCAAGTTAAAATACTAAGAAAGGTATAAGTAAAGACTTAAAAAGTTGTAAGTTGTAAAAAAAAGGAAAACATGAAGATTTACCTATCTTTTTAGGTTATAAAGGTTTAGAGTTATGAGGGTTTTTTGATGTTCAAGAAAAAACTGGATTAATAAAAGTTTTTGTAGCACGAAGGGACAGATAAAGTAAAAGGATGCAACTTGTTGAAAAAAAAGCCAAGCAAGATTGAGTTTTGGTTTATCGTTATAGAGATGATAGCTTGTTTGAGCATTGACCATGATAGTATTTGTAAAAAAAAGAAAGAAATGAAACCTTAAAAAAATGTCAGCGTGGCTCAAGTTTGGCAGATAAAGCAGGTCTAATTACATTTAAAATGTGCTTTTAAACTTTGTCTGAGAGCAAGAGGATTGTCATTTTTCAATATAGGAATGCTAACAATATTACAACTTTTTTTTCCAGTTAGTAAATGAGTTTTGCTGTCTAACAAAAATTGTGAATTTTAAATTAGAATTTAATTCATAAACCACTGCAAGTATTAGGTTGTTACAGAAGAGAGATCAGATTTAAATTTGGCTGCTTTTTCCAAGCAATCAAAAAGTGAAGATGTTTTTTCAAGACAAGAGTATAAAGTTGAATTATCAGCCAATAGATATTGTTATTGTAGATAAGAAACAATACAGGAGGAAAAATTGAACATTGTGGTACCCTTAAAGTTACTTGAAATAAAGAGTGTAGGCCTTCGAGAATAACTTTATTACTGCAGTTAAAAAGAATTAATTTAATAATCATAAAACCTTTATATAAAGAAACTAATAACAGAGTGAAAATTAATTTTAGGATTGTTGAAAAGGTCAAATTGTTTTCTAGAGTTTTGGAAAATTAGAGTCATTTATTTAGCTCTTTTTAAAGATTCAGCAAAAGTTAAAAAGAGTTCTGGAGAACATTTTTTTAAGAATAAGATGGAAATGTTGTCTGTAGAACAAACTGTAGAAGTGTTTAACTGAGAGTTAACTTGCGGCGTGTGGCGCAGTGGTTAGAGCGCTTGCTTTATAAGCAGGAGATCCATGTTCGAAATTAGCTTTGGACATATATTGCGTTACGGTAAGAAAGGAGGCGTGAACTTCCTGATTAAATGCACTTCCACGGTGCTCTGTGACAAGATCGTTAGGTTTTCTTGGGGCACCTAAAAAATAAAAATAATAAAAAATAAATTAACTTTAGCATTGTAAGGCAGAGTGATTAACTATCAGGAAGATTTAGTAAACTGATAATTACATCAGACAGGACCTTTTTACATTGGCTTCTTGTATAACAAAAGGGCATTTGTTCTTAAGAGATATGTTCTTGTAAATAAGATGAACAAAATGGTTACGGTTTAATAAAGCAACTGCTCAAAATGGTGAAAAATGTGGAGTAGAATGAGGCTTGACTTAAAATTGAAGAGAAGGAATAAAAGCTGCTAAACTTTTATTCCAGAAGGAATAAAAACTTCCAAGATGCGCCTTGATATATACATAATTTATATATAAACATATTTGTTTACTATTTATTTAGATGCGGACAATATCCATTGATTGTGATATTATGTTATATATAAAATATATGGTGTAGTATTTACTAAAAGAGAAGATGATCAGACGGATGTGTGATATGACTCTAGCAAGACAAGGAAAGGAGGCATAATCTTAGACAGATTAGAAAAATTGTTGCATCGAACAACGTTTGTTATTAAGCATTAAAGTGATTTAGGTATCAGCATGTTTAGAGGTAGCAGCTTCAGGATAAAATAGTAGTGTTAGAAACAGGCGCGTACTGGGTCCACTTTCCCTACTGGAAAACTAAATATAATTAGGGCCCACTTACTATATACAATAACTTACTAATAGCAATAGGTTCCTTGTATAATAATAGTCAGGTTATATACCCATTTCTTACACTAAGAAAAAACTATACAATTAACATGAACCTAAATAATAAACTAAATCTACATTTTAATTTAAAGTCTATAAAAAAATATATATACACAACAATATTAAGATAATTATTTTTATTTAAGTGATCTTGATTACGTTGTATAAATTATAAAATGTGGATAGCATGTTTTTAAAAATAATTCAATACATAGGAAATAGTGTACAAATAGTTGAAATAGTTCAATAAATTGTTTAAAAACTAAACTTTCAACATTCTTTACA